CCACTCTATTAGTAATCTGTATAACGATACAGAATACTAATCAAGCATTGTTATAATTTATCAGCCCCAACCTTTCGCTGGTAGCTATTCAAACCCTTCCCCCATGCTTTTAGTTTCTTTGGATATATYTTGTATACAAGTAAGTATAAGTATACAAATGGTGAGTCCGGATTGGCAAAACGCTCATGAATTATTAATGAATATTATAATAGACTAGACAAATGTGATACGACTGAAAAACGTCTGCGCATGCTCTGAATCCGTATGCAAATTAGTCAAAACATAAGTAAATTTGACTTTCAAACATGCCTTATAAATTGGGCTTCACAAATGCCAAAACTTAGTGTCCATGCTTGAGACTTAAGACTAATTCTTTCATATTGTGTTATTTAATACAGTATCTTGGTCTGACAAAAGTATACTCTCGAAYTTTTTTTGTATACTTGGAGAAAACAAACATTTATTTTCTCACTCAAACTCTTCAAAATTCTTAGAAAGCGTGCTGAAGTGAACGAATGCGCAGACGTTTTTCCCTTGTGTCGACAAATGCAGYTCGAGTACAATTCTTTTGAATGGAAAACTTGACTTCTCTTCTTCGATTGGAAATAAAAATGCATCCGTTCTATTAATTTCCTACAAGATCTTTCAAACATTACTCAGCGTTACGCTTACTTGCTATATAACGAACCAATGAAAACGGACCGGAGCATGCTCAAGTGGCGGGAATAGTGAATCAACAATGTGCATGTTATCTGATCTTCCCGCCAATGATACAACAACATGATCTTAATATTCACTTAGGTAGAGCCGGGCAAAGTTAAAAAGGATACTCGAGATTACAGACTTTGCAAGTCAGAGTGCGTCTTAATTTTCAATGGATTTCCTATTTATGATATTCTTTTACACCCGCCTTGTGTAACCAAAAATATGTACATGCATCAGTGGCGGATCCAGAACTTTAAGAGGGGGGTTCATTTCTGMAAATCTCGGCACAACAATAACGTTCTYTTGCACATCACTGGCCTAGGGGCGCTCCTGATAAGGATAACCTATCCATCAAAAAGCGGACCTACCATACTTTTATTTATTTATTTTAAAAAATATAAAAAATCCAAGGTACCAGCCGGTGGGGGGGGGGGGGTCATTTGCACCCAATGAACCCCCCCTAAATCCGCCACAGTGCATGTTGGGTTTATTTTGGCCGTTGTTATCGATTTTTTCGTATAGTATTTCTATTTCTGAAGCGGCTTGAACATAAACACGTGAGGTAAATTTTCATGTGCAACAATTAAAAGTCCGGAATAGGATACTTTACGATTACTCAAATAAGGATCTATGACGGGAGCTATTTTAATCAATACCCGCTGGCGTTGGATTGAGCTCTTTCAAAATTACGGCTCTTTCAAGAAAGAATATCAGAAATATATTGTACTTYCTCCTGTGTGGCTGTTACTAGTGAAAATTTAACTGTACCAAGACGCAATGTGGCTAGTTTTTTATTGGGCTAAGGAAATTCATACAGAATAACTTCGATAAAGCTCATAAACCGTAAGTTAAGAATGATATATAGGTTATTTTTTTTAACTTTGTCGATCGAAAAGCTGTTGTTTGTCCTGGAGCCACCATTTTGGTGCTAGCAGCGGGCAAGTGGTTTTTGCGACTGCGATAGAGTTAATTTGTGAAGAAAGGTGTTCGTATCATTTAATATTTCATTCATATTTAATATTTTTGATTATTTTCTAGTTAGCTTTAATCGAGTTGCTTTTTATTCGATTTTAGCTTTTAGTGATTGAGAATCGCACCAAATTAGTTTTTCTTTACGTTCTTGTTTACGATAACACATCTCTTTTGGTCTTTGAAATTTCGTTGATTTTCTTTCTTTCTGTTGATTTAAAAAGAGATGTTATCTTTTCGCCTTTTAAGTTGTCTTTTTCYTCTTCCTGTTTCGGCATGAACGCGGTGAAAAAAATACAGGATATAAAAAAATCACTGAATTGCTTTATTGTGATCGTCTTCAAATTTTTAAGAATATGCATTTTCGTAAATCGTTTGAAAAATTCAATGTCCATTAAAAGTAAGTGTTGCTAAGTATCAGTGTTTGAGTTTTTACTATCGCAGGAACATCAGATATCTAAATCTAATAGTAGTTGGAACGTTGGAAGAATAATACGCCGAAAAAATTTTATCTGAAGGGAACCCGGGTTAAATGTTCTTAAGTTTGGGATGCGAACTGAGTGGAGAAAAGTGCTAAGCTGTTAAGAATAGGTGATTGGAAGCTAACTCTTGATAAYCAATATAATGTTGGCGAAGGTTTAAGGATTGTAACAAGAGGAATATGTAATCTTAGTTTTCGWTATTTTTGTACTTCAATTTGGTTTTATCTTATTACCCTTACCACTAATTTTATTATGGAATGTAGGAAATTGCCGGTTCGATGAATTTAGCAATTTCATTCACTATTAGCTACGGCTATTCATCGTACCTATTCCCTATCGGGTTTAAAGGTTTTTTATCGTTATTCTCTGAGAACGTGGACCGGGAATAACATAGGAAATTACACCCACACTGATCAATCTTAAACCTGTCATCCGGTTTCGTGTGGTTTCTATTAAGGATGTTCTYGTAGTGAGACAGCCGTTTAAGCAATTCCTCGACTCATTTTCGCTCATTTCCCRCTTGCGTTTTGCGTCTAAGTCACCCTAAAGGCAATTCAGAGTAAAGGACAATGATTTAGACATAATATATAGGTTTTTAAGCTCTTGTGAGGGCTTTAATTAAGCAAAGYATCGCTACTGACAATTTACTCAATTTTATTGCTTTCGACTACACTTTGTAGACACCTGCCGTTATCTTACATGCATACATTTATTTTGTCTTTCTTATCTTGGCAGAAAATATCCAGCAACAAGGAAAATTCGTATCGTTACAAGTAAAAGGAATGTTCTACTGCCTTCTGCGCATTGACTAATGGGCAATACCGCTGACACCATCCAAGTGATCTTAACAGTCATAGTAATGTTTTTAACCTTATTTGGTAATGCATCCATATTTTATATTATTTTTCGAGTTCGACGACTTCACTGTCCTTCTGGATTCTTATTGGCTAATTTAGCAGTGACTGACATTTTGGTTGCTTTGACTTTACTTCCATTTCGAATACCCGGCATCCTCCATGARAAGTTTGTTTTCAAAGAGAGTGGTTGCACTGCTATTGGATTTCTGCAGAATTCTTTGAGTTTTGCATCAGTTTTTACACTATTGGCTGTTAGTATTGATAGATATTTAGCCATTGTTCTCCCTTTACGTTACAAGTCATTTGTGACCGCAAMAAAGACTGCAATTTCTATCCTATGTATCTGGGCTTATTCCCTGTTCTCAGCMTGTTATCCATTCTTTGGATGGGGAAGATATACCTTTATGCGTGGTCTTTGGCTCTGTGAGACTGACTACCTTGTTCTCTCAAGYTTCACCTACTTCAAACTCTGCAATATTTATTTTCTACCTTTGATGATCATCTCTTACTTGTACGCTAAAATCTTCCGTGTGTCGCGGCGACATTCCAAGCAAATACGACGMGAAGTTGAAGCCATGGTTTTTCGAGAATCTTCCACGGTTGTCTCRGTGGATACAGCTGTTGGCAAAATTCAGGACGTGTCTGGTCAATTCTGTCTAAGAAAACCTCATTCAGCYATGAAGTCAGAGATCAGGACAGCATTCACTTTAGGCTTTGTCGTAGGCGTGCTATTCCTGTCGTGGACACCCTATATTGGGTTGAGCATATTGTCAACTTTCACGAGAGAAAACAATAATATCCTTGCAATAGAAATATCGACGTTTTTGTATTACATGAACGGAATGATAAACCCATATCTCTATGGATATCTCAATCGAACAATAAAAGGTCAACTGAGAAAATATTACAATAACTTTGTGGAAAAATCGATCCGTTTGCGAAAGAACAGGGTTAATCCAGCCATAATAGTCATTACACCGAAGGAGTAAATATCGCTAACTAGAATAACTTCAATAGTCTCAAACAAAGGGGACGTCAAGTGTATAATATTCCGCCATTTTTTACATGTAAGTGAATTTATTTCATTTAACCACAGGGAACCCGGCTTTCGGAACTTTATGATTTCCTTTTTATGAGTAGTTAATTCGGTCGCTCTTAATGGATTTGAGATCGGTTTACGGTTACTTAAGATGTAATTGTAGATCTGGACTGGTGGATATTGCTCTTTATGGGTTGTTCTGCGTACCCATCAATTTACAGTCAAGATCAGTTAACAGCTTCATGTATCATTCGATCTCAAACCGCAGGACCCATAAAGATCAAAGTTACCATTTTTACTAAAAGAAAAATCTAGATCGATATAAATATGGTAACGAATTTGACTAAATATTGTTCTGGACTAACTATTTCAAATTGGTCGGCATATTTGAACCAGGTTGTCTCTAGACTGCAAGTAGTCCCACTTTTACACCTTACCAGAAACGACGAGTGTCYARGGATTGCTTTGTACTCCACAKRAATCCTAAAACACTCGTCTTTACTGAGTCTGGAGAGAGAAGTGGGACTACTCGCAGTCTAGGCTGTCTCCGAAAGCCGGGTTCCCTGTGRTTTAACTTGAATTTTGAACTATATTTAAATGAGCAAAACAACACACAAATAAGTATTTTAAATGCACTATACTGCACAGAAACGAAACATGRCGACCAATTTGAATAACTATTGTTCTACACTGACTAGCGACTGACTAGCCTCGTGGAAACTTGGAAACATAAAGCATTTCCACATGTATGAGAGGCTAGTCAGTCTCTAGTCARTGCAGAACGATTGTTATTCAAATTGGTAGCCATTTTTCGACTCGGCGTATAACAAACACTATTCTCTACTTTCACATCCCCATAATACTTTGGCGTCTTTGGGGGGTGACCAGAGGGTAAAAACCCACTTATTTTGCTGAAGGCTAATCAGACAATGTTGACAATACCTTGTTTGGTATCCAAAAATAAATTGAAGAAGTAAAAAACAGAAAAAGATAGAAGTTTGAAGAGGTTTAAGGTAAATTTTAAAACATTTTTCTTAAGGTGGCTGCCTACTTTTGAACGTTTGAATTGAGCCCACGATGAGCGCGCGCTCAAAAACCGCTGAAAAATCTACAAGATTTTATTGAAGAACCATACGCGTTTTAAGCTTCAACAGAGCAAAACCCTCAAATTTTGCACGGGACTCTATATTTTTTGATAGCTCATTCGAAAAACCTCCTAAAAATCTAGGTTATATCAACATTTTAGGAAAAGTTTAAATCAGGAACACGTGAAAAAATAGATTTTTGTAGGGATTTTTGTTCGACTTTATGAGATTTTTTAAGAGMACCGAAACTACAAAATATGACAAATCAATGTATCTCTCTGTCTTTTTGTCTAAAATWTCCATTTATTATTGTAGAATGATTGACTAGCCTACATCCATGCAATCATATAGTCTGCAAATAACTATTATCTTATTCATCTTAACTTTTTTCCAATCACTTCCGGTGGTACAATTTTTACTCCAAAAGCTCGTGCGTAGGCTTCCATTAAATGCTGATYATCTCGAAAACGAGCTCGGGACACCCTATTTTTCTTTCCAGATTTGGAATCAGCATTAAATTTCAATTCGGATAATCGAAGTTTTAAAAAAAGCTTAAATCAATTTCCAAAAGTAGGCAGTCACCTTAAGTCAATACATTTTCTGTAAGACCAAAACTCTTGATGATCTGTACACGCAAAAATAACTTGGAGTAAACTAATAATCAGTATTGTACAGATAAAAGCAGGTAAAGTATAAATTCAATTAAGAAACCTTTCAATTTGGGACAGTTTTTTGATTGGTTACCCCCCAAAGAAGCAAGGCATTATGGGRATGTGAAAGTAGAAAATACTAAGGCCCCATCCACACATCCAATCCGCAAAGAAAGTCAGATTACAAAAATATCCTGGTACGTGGGGTATTAGTAAGATATTTATCTAAAATTCCCCAATCTTCCCCACGTTGATCCGGATATTTTTGAATCTGCAACTTTTTAAATACCAATTCGACGGTATACATAAGTTAGGCTGCATTAACAAAGTATTGCAAAAAAGCACCGATTCTCGTGCATGTGGATGGTAAATATTGGCCTTCTTCAATTTAGATTATTTTGTTGTATAATATTTTGAATGCCAAAAATCAACAGAAACAAATCAAAAACGYCTTTCATTTGTCGAAGCAAAAGGATATAAGCAAACAATAAGAGAAGGAAACGGGCGGTAGTTCCAATCCTTGTATTTATTTATGGGTTTTTAGCTGTTGAACCGATTATCCTCCTCTTGATTGCATGCATGCCAGCCCGACTTTAACCTTCTTAGGTAACAAAGTGGGCTGCACACAGGTCACGGATGGTACCTCACCCTCTCTCTTTTACCTTTCAGTCTTAAGAAAGAAAGAAAGTGAAGAAATAGAAAACGCGCGCGCGTGCTGTGTGCTGTCATAAAGCACGCGGGGGTTGGCAGAACACGAGAGAAGTGTTAGGAGAAGCACGACGCATAGCGGAGTGCTTCTGGACACTTCTCGAGTGTTCTGCCAATCCCCAAGTGCTTTATGACTGCACACAGCACAGCAAGCAAGTTTTTTTATTTCTTTTATAAAATACAAATTACAATAATAGATAGGAATGACGCAACGGAAAGTGCGCGCGCGTGCAATGTGCTCTCATAAAGCCGACGCGCTCCAAACCAATCAGGACGCGACATTCGTAACAGTTATTTTGTAAAAAGGAATAGAGAAAGGAAGAAGGAGAAATAATGAAAAAGAAAAATTCGGTTTATTCCAATCTTATYACCACAGGTATCCCGTGATTTGTTTATGGGCCCAAAAGAAACAAGAGTGATTGCCCTGTAAATATACCACAGCAAAACTCACTCAGACAAAAAGAGCTGCAAAGAAAGATCTGTACATATTAGCGATATACTAGCCCTATACTAGCCCTATATTAGCCCTATACTCTTTGCATATGGATCCAGAATGCAAGGCGGTATTGGTATGTACGKGCTACCATGGTTACTGTATATAAAACTTCGCTCAGACATTCGTTTCGTTTTCAGAAATTGAAATGTAAAAGTAAAATTCCTACGTAATGTGAAATGAAGCTGTACATATTTGTATTATTATTACTATTTATTCAAAAAAACTACTGGAAGTCCGGTGAAATCATCGAGGGTCGACGGGTTGTGACCACAGGGACCCCAAYTTAGATAAAAGTATAAGAAAACTAAATCAGACGAARAAMATTCAGTTACGAAAATCAAAACTTTGTGCGTTAAAATATGACCTTGGTATTAATATTAATATAATATTCTAAATCGGGCTTCCTGTGGTAATACTAAATAGCACTCGCATTTCGGTYTGTTTTCTGTTTTCAAAAGCGTTTTTTTACATGATTCAATGAAACTTTTTTTGCATGTTTAAATGTAATTGGTGAAACCAAACGGAAATCTTTAGACTTCAAGGAACACTGACGACGTGTTGACAAACCCGGCATTAAATCTAAACAATCCTCCGTTATAGCGTACGTTTCAGAACACTTTCTCTSTAATAATCACTTTGCTTCTAACATCAACTTATTCCTATAGACATTTTAATAAATGCCAYAATGCTTCATTTTTCGCGCTTGACACCAAACTTATTCTTTTCGATTTTATTTTCTGATTTTTTTTATTTTTTTATTTTTTCAAAACTTGCAATAAACTAGACATCAAACGCGGAAAGTAAGGCATCGTAGTATTTATTAAAAGGGTCTAAATTACCACTAATMTTTTCTTCCCAAGACTAACTATTCACGAAACTAGAGAAGCTTTTAAAGAAGCTTATCTTATAACCAAAGCTAACACTCTTGAAACTAACGAAGTCGAAACTTACTGGTCAYTCTAATTCATAATTTATTTTATATTTTCTTATTTTAGCCGATGCAGGGTTTATCACATATATTATCTACTTGTTACGTATTTTATCACACTATTTATGTTATTATTTTATTTCGTCATTTCCGTTTTTGTTTTACATATTAAACCGTTATATAAACCATGAGTATATGTAAATCATCCATAAGACAGTATCTGATAAAACMCTAGTACTGGGTAGTCGTTGTTTTCGTCTTTCTTTTCAAAATTTCCTTTGCTTAACCAAGACCAACACTGACCCTAGAAAGAAGGATTTTTGCTWATGATCGTCCTCCTTTTTAGAACTTATAACTAGAGCCACCGTTTACTGACCAAAAAGCTTTGTCCTCGTTTCTACACAGGCAGCCCAATCAGTGTTCCTGTGCTGACTTCCGCAAATGTTTGTAGAGAACAAAAAAAATGGCTCAAAAAAGATCGTAAAATTTAAAAAAATAAAAAATAAAAAATAAATAAATGAACATACCTTGATCTTTTGTTTTTCTCATGTTTTTTATCGTGTCATTGGATATTTTTTAGCTATTTTATTTATAACTCAATCACCTACCTAAAAGTATTATTTCTAGCAGGTTTCGGTACGAGGTTACGTGCTAAGTATAATGTGTTCTTTTCTCYTGCTAAAACACTGAGCATTATACACGAACCCTGGCACTGAAGGCTTTGTGCGCGAAGTACTGTAGAAGCATCTCTTTATAGTGAGGGAGCTAATTTAGGYTTCCTGTGGTTGTAAATGCTCCATAAAGATTATTTACGCATCAGACCTGATTTCAYATCATGGGGGACTGGGTACGAGTTCCTGAATATTGGGATAATCGACACAAGCGCATTGACCTATAAAAAATCCCGAGTTTGATCTATAAATCCCGAATTTGACAAGATACACGCATTTAAAAACTCCAAAATTTACTAAGACATCATGCATGTGTTACCGGAAAACTGTGTGCTCTGTCTTGATTATCACAACTATTCAGGGGCTCACGATAGGAAATCAGGCAATGACGCGGATCGATGATTATCGGTAGTGGAAGGGAATGGTGAAAGACAAAGGAGTGAAAGACTTATTCTGGAGTTTCACTTGACGTCGTTTTCTGCCTCGGAAAGAATGCTAATCATCAGCTCAAATTTACAGAAAGTTAACAGGCGTTTCTCCTGCAAAACAGGTAGCCCAGAACCGGTAGATCACACATTTTTAGACAACTTGATGGGGCCGGATCAGTTATATGTTGACAGGTACAGCGTTTTGCAATATAGATGCGAAGATACGAAAAGGGAAGGGGGGGGGGGGGGGGAATGATACAAATATAGATACTTGTTCTGAGGCAAGGAAACCGCAACAGCTAATGACAATTACTCAATATGTAAACTAATGTGCATATTTCCAGATTCTTTGAATAACGTATTTGCAACCAAATCCGTGTCGAGGGTCCTTGAATTTGAATGCTCGGAAAAAATTCGCGAAAAGGTTTTTTTAGTAAAAAGAAATGGATTTTTGTGATAACTACAGGTGATATCTATCTATTGATGCAACAGAAAATGAGGAAAATCGAGTTTTGAAAACGGAAATGATTGGTCGGTTTTTACTGAGACAGCCTCTTAATCGTGCCTAGTTACGGTATACATTATGTATGATTTAACGACCAAATATTGATCATTCATCGTAAATCGACACTTTTCCGTCGGCCGTATTGGCTTACTTCCGGCATACAGTCAGTCACTAGATACCTTTAGCATCGATACTTTTTCGTCGGCCGTATTGGCTTACTTCCGGCCTCCAGTCAGTCACTAGATACTTTTAGCATGAGGCAAACTGCTAACCGCTAGCCGCTAAAACGCTAGGGAACAGGCTCGGAAGCACACTCGCAAACACAGATTAACAGTACTTGGCATCAATAAATTCATATGGCGGCTTTTCCAGCAACATCTTCGTTCTGAAGCCTTCCTAAATGTCGAATCGAACGTTTGACAGAAAACGCCTGATGTCGAACTCGGCAGTTTGAAGTTTGCGGTACCTAGCAAGAACGGCGTTCATAAAAGTGTCTACTCAATAAAACTCGACCAAACTGATTCCCCGCCAAGACATAGTATCCTCAGAAGACGATATTCGTGATCGATACGAAAAAGTACATGATCTCTGCTGAGGAGGCTAGCCAAGATGATGACCGCGATAAATTGGTGATTCATGATTCCAAAATTATTAGAAAACATTAACCGAGGAAAATTCGACCTGTGATAACAATTATGGAAAATATAAAGGAAGAGGAAAGGTGGGATCATATGAGAAAGTTGAAGTCGGTCATTGACTTCCATACAGCAACTCTAGTATTTTCTAGACTGTAGAACATMCACGTTCCAGACACGTTTCATGAAAAAAGGGTAAGATTTGATCTCAAGATTGCTATTGCTTTAGCTTTCCGTTCAGTTGCTATGACAATACCAGCGAAGTTAAATAAATTGGTCACACTGTMACGTCTTTTGTTGACGTGTGCTGGGATGATACCATTGCACGATTCAACTGACTAATTATCCTAAAATCCCGCGTTGGGTGAGWAGCGTGCTTGCAAATACTCGCTCAACTGGTCGCGTTTATGAATTATCACAAATAGTAGACGATTTGACGACAATAAACAATTTAACCGGCTTTTGAAAGATTTCTKTTCTCTCTGCTTTGCTTTGTTGATCAGCACGAATTGTCGAAGCACGATTAGGCCTGGTGACTAGGTCTGTCCTGCATGTGCTACAGTGCATGTGAAAGGCACGAAACTGTGACATCTTTATGTTTGACAAACAGAGGATAAATATACATTCAATATACTACATTTCATATTATTATTTCTTGGAGGCCTGAATAACACAAAAMCTACCCTTGAAATGCTTCTGGATTACTCACTGATTGTTTATATAATATTATTAATCAGTTTTTTTCTTCAAATGATAAATTTTCTGGCATTTTATGATCCTCAAGGAAATTTGATTTCAATGATCGAAGAAAGATTTTAAAGGAATTTTTGGCGGTCTTTTTTGGTTGCTATAGGTCATGACGTCATGAACTTCTTTCCTGATGACTTCAGTCTGAGTTTGGATTAATTTACTAGAGTACTTTAAAAAAACATGCAAATGGTTGGGTTTCCTTTCATGAGACCTTTCATGTTTGCACAACGTAACATTTCTTTCGATTGAAGAGCTAAAGATCTTGTAACTCGGTCAGACGCTTAATTTGACATGATTTGGAAGATATCTTGTCTTGTTTTTAACGACACTCGAGTTTGTCAGAGTCATGAGGTTTTTTCTTTCTTTCTTTCTTTTCTTTTCTTTTCTTTTCTTTTCTTTTTTCTTTTTTTTTTTTCGCATGTAGTTTTAATTTTAACTTTTCCTTGATTCACTTTTCCTTTTGTTTTTTGGCCTTTTGTTTTTTGTTTTTGTTTTGTTTTGTTTTGTTTTGTTGTTTTTTGTTTTTCATCCAGATTACTATTATTTCATTTTTATTTTCATGTCCTCATTTTCTCACTTTGGTTAACTGTTAGCCTCTCACAACGTTAATTTTAAATKTGCATTCCATCCTTAAAACCTTTTCTTCTGTAATAAGACCTTGCTAAATCAAGCGAAAGACAAAGGTACATTGGAATTGGAAAAAAAAAACTACGGTAAATGATTTTTTTTAAAAACGTTTCTAGCAGCATATTCCTTTGTGGTTAGCAACTGAATATTAATTAYTTAACATGTTAACAACGTGCGCGAGTAATTGAACTTCTCTTGCCTACAAAATCTTACAAAACTAACAACAAGTAAATATCACGAAGAAGGCCTTACTATTGAATTCAAGAGGCTACATTATCTAATGACCATCATGATGTATATATTGTCATTTAGTATGAAAAACATGACTTGAAGCACGAGTTCAGTGATTCAGTCCCTTCATGGGGTCTCAAAGATGTAAGCCACTTTTTCATAATAATTTCATCGATACTTACTCCTACTCATAAATTTTTTCTTTAASACAAAATTTCGTGCTTTGATTTATTTTTTCTTAAATATTTATTTGATTWTTTTGATTAATAAAGACGTTTTTTTGAAAATAAAAGTCATGAGTGAAGATGCTCAAATCTGCCAGGCGTTGCTTTCCACACCAAATCATGAATGYGGCGAGACGTGCATTTGTACATGACTTGTTTTGTGAGCTGACTTATAAYAAATGGTCGCATTGAATTCAGGCAGTCTGACCATCAACACGCAAAGCGTCGCTCAAAYTGAATATAAATCCAATCCTCCAAAGCTTAGACTTAACTGAGAAGTTCATACTTTACATCGCAGCACTCAAGAATAGGATTCAGTAATTCTTGTTTTGGGAAAATTTTATCAAGAACGAACTTTACACACAGTACTAGTCACGAAGCGATGGCCTCCAGAAACTACCGCAGTCAACTACCACTGCCACTTCGATACCAAAGGYTACTAAGACTACATCGCTACAGGCYATTCATGCCAAATCAACTTACCCCAGAAATGTTGAAATGTGAGTARAAATTTGTATCCAAACGTTCATTCATAAAAAGCAAACRACTTTTTCTCATTTTCTTAGGGAAAACCCGTAGTCGTTTTTGTGTGTGGAAAGATCATGTAAACGCAGAAGTGACTAGTATATATTTTCTGGCGTTTAAAATCTCCAAGAACTGATCAAAATCATTACATTGGTGAAATTTTGGGCAAATATTTGGCCAGGAAATATTTTTTTCTTCTTTTTCCCCCTTGACTTTAGTAACTTTCTCAGACTGAAAAGTGTACATTTTTCCAGTTAGTCCTTCAAACGTAACAGCAGCWTTCTAATATGATATTCGCAATTGCGAATGATTTAATCCAGTTATAATATTTCTATGTTCTCATGAAATATATTTGTAGTATTATAGTCACAAAACAAAAAAGGACCTGGTGCGCGTTCAGTTCACAGCACTTGTTACGACGGCACTGGCTCCCCACCCACCTCTTCCCTCGCGATTCCTTTGCTGTGAGAAGAGATCGGTTGGGTTTCTCCCTTAATCCAAACTTTTTCTCCAGAATCTTCGGTTTYCTTTCCTTTCCAAATTTAAGACAAAATAATGTGACTCAAAATTTGAATGGCATTTATTTCTTTGTGTATATTGACAACTACGTCGCACGTTCTGCCTCACCCTTCGAGCCTCTAGTACTGTTTAGCGGACATCATTAAGGGGTTTTATTGACCGATGTCGGGAACTTCCAAATCTTAAATAAGCCAAGAATATTGCAAAATGGTTGAAGACAAACAGAATCGCAGGCCTGACGAAACCATGGTTTTCGCACGTTTGGCCAGTTGATGTTGTAATCTCAGTTCAAGAGTTTTCCCGAAGGAAATGAGAAGGAGCATGCAGCATGCACAGCTGAAGATATCATTATATGTTTTTATTCCAAAACTTAGAAGATGGAGTGGACTAGAATTTGATATGAGATGATATCCGCAATCGTTTTAAAATTCTGTTATTTTTCATTAGCTACTAGACTCATTTTTCTTAATGATATTGAACCTTGAATTAATGAATTTTGCCGAAAAGAAGAGGGGAGAAGAGAAAAACCCTAAATATCCTTTTCGTCATAACTGGCTAGTTTTCAAAATTTTCATTTTGGTTGTCTATTTGATTGTTTGTGCCCTTTTTTTTCTCATTAATATTTTTTATGTTTGTTAGTTTTCTTTTTCTTTTTAACTTTTCTTTGGTTTTTGCTTTATCTTTGCTTTTTTTTCTATTGTTATCTTATTTTCCTTTTCTAATTTTTCTCCATTTTTTCTCCACTCTACTTTTTTCACTTCTATTTTCTTGTTTTTTTGATTACTTTTTTCTATTATACATGTTTCCTTTGCATTTCTTGGTATCTTATCTTTATTTATTTATTTATTTTTACACTTTATTATTTTCTTTTTCCTTATTTTTCCTCCCTTTCTTCTCTTTCATTTGAATATTTCTCCTTTGTCATTCCTTTTCCCTTCCATTGTTTYCATTTTCTATTATTTTCTTACCATTTATATTTTTTTTATCTTTTACTTTTTCTTCTCCTATCCCTTTCTTTTCTCCTTTTCCCTTTTCATCTCTTAGTAAAGGCATTGAATGGGTGCACACCTTCCCTAGTGCTGGTACCAGGTTTGTTTTGGCCATAGCCGCCAGGCGTTCCATGTTTCGTTTGAGTATTCCTGGTCTCCCAATGTTGACATGTGAGTTAAAGTGAAAATGTTAGCCTTGACGTTGTGTTGTTTTTCTGGTTTTCAGACCATTTAAGGTGGATAAACCAACAATCTAGGATCCCAAAAGGAATGATCTGTGATCACTGTGAACAACTAGTCCCTGATAAMGCAAAGGGACGATATAAGTGTGTCCGCTGTCAAGCAAAATATTGCAGTAAAGAGCATCAAAAGGCAGCTTCAAAGTTCCACCACAGATCATGCAATCGCTTCCCAAGAGATCCCTCTCCTAGAAATAATAATAATCTTTCTTCTAAAGAAATCCTACAAGATGAAGACCAGGCTGAAGTGATCTACGGAAATCCTACGAACCTTAACCAGAACTTGAACATTGCAAAATAYGTTATAGAGAATTTAAGAAAATATGGACATTGTGTTTTGGACAATTTTCACGGGGAGAGAATTGCTAAATCAGTATTAAACGAAGTGAAGGCTTTACACAGTCAAGGTTCGTTTAATTATGGCCAACTTCAGTCTACTTCAGGACATGGGACTTCAAATAGAAGAATACGAGAAGATGAGATAACGTGGATGAACGGAAACGAAGCAGGCTGTGAAAATATCTCCCATCATATGAGCATCACAGATACGTTACTACAACTGTGTAACTTCTTCATCAAAGAAAACAAGATTGAGATGCGATCTCCGGTAAGATTCTCTTTGAATTCAAACTCCTCTCTCCGTAGAAGAATATTACTTTGAGTACTCAAAATAGGTTTTACAATCTGTTATTGTTTTGGTGTCAATTTAGCTTATGAACCTCAGCTCACTGAATGTCAAGTTGTTTTAAAAGACAWATGACCGTTATTATTCTAAGTTTTTGGTACTAAATCATATTCTTTAATCTTAGTTTATTTTCAAGTTATTTTGCAATATTTTCGGTGTAATAAAGGGTTGGTTTTGCGTCATGAGARCCAGCACGTCCTTGTTAGTAAAACACCTCTCAACAAATCGTGCCTATTGACACGTAAACCGTCCCATTGCGTGTAGTTTATCTTTGAACGTTTACATTCTCCCTCAATATTCACTTCGACTTCTCAAAAATTCTCATCCTCGTCAAATGATTYATTATACTACACAAAACTCTATTCAAAAATCTTTATTTTTCTCTTAATATTTTGCTTTGTTTGAAAATTTGGCGAGTCTTATATTTCATCCCCAGGGAGGGAGGGAGATGGATTCCGATGGAAAATATTTATATAAATCTAAAATAAGRAAAACAATTCCGATAAAAATTTATTTGTGTAGAAATCATCTTAATCTAAAAGTCTAGCTTATTTATTTTTTTGACTTTTTTATTGAGATTTTTTGAGGGGATTTTWTTAATGGTATGCAGTGTGTATCATAGTTCAAGGAGCATGCATGGTCCAATGTAGGCTAAAGACACGCGATGTCGTGAAAGGGTGGAATATTAATAAACGTGAAGTGTTCAATCAGCATGTATGACCCTAGAAAACAGTCACATGAAAACCACTTTTTTCTCATAATAAGCTTATGTTTATTGTAAAGAAATAAATTTTATTTCCCAACTTACTGTTCAGTTCATTTCGTTTCAATAACAATTGATCTAAGTATAGAGTTGTTTTTTCTCTCTCTCTTTTTTTTTTGCGACATCTCATCATTAAATAAAAATACATATATTTCATGTCAATGACTTCAATTTTAAAACTTGTTCGTCTTAGCTGTATTTTCGATTTTAGGATTCACAATTTAATCTTAAAGAAACATTTCCTCCATATTTTCCTGGATATATTCCAGAATTGGACCAAAATAGATTGTGACTGTTTTATTTAAGTGGCATATCTTAAGTGAGTCAATGACTGGAATAGTACAAATAGGTTGGAAGCATGCAATCTCTTTATTATTCTCATATCATAAATACAATAACTTTGGCTTTAATCCCAATATAATAAATTCAGAATGAAACTAAAACTATTACATTTAGGTATAAGTAATGCTGTGGTTAATTAGCAGAGTTAACAAAAAAAAAACAACAAAGATTCAGAATTAGGATTGCGTGCTTCAAGGCTGTTTACATTATGCCAGCCATTGATTCTTGGTATTATAAACTCAATGAATTTTGCTTTAATCCTGATATAATAGATTCAAAATTAAATTACAATCTATTGCAAAACTTTGAAATGTATTTATTAAACTCTGCTAAACAACCACAATTTTAGTCATACCTAATAGTTTTARTTTCATCATAATAGATATTAAAGGTAAAATAACTGATTCTTTGGAATTTGTTTCTTCACTGAAAATAAAGAAAAATAAAGGGTGTGAAATGGATGATGTGGCTGAATAGAAAAGGTTATGTAATAATAAACAAATGTAAGGAAATAGCCATGTAGAAGATACCAGACAACATGGGTTACGAGGATTAACTCATACTCTAAATGTTAAAGCCATCGAGAAAGTTATGACACGCTATATACATGTGGGTTAAATTACTATATAATAATTTAAAGCTTGTTAGATTAATGGTGTACACTAATTAAATACAAACTATAATGACACTGGTGGGGCCAAGATGTTTTTAAGGGGGTGACTATTACTTGGAAAACCAGTAGATATTATACCTCCTTCAGATGTTATTTTATTATTACTGGGTTACCTGTAGTCAAACTGGACCTAAAACAGCTTTGGTTTTTTTATTCCTGTGCAACAAAATCAAGAAGGCTTCAGGACCTTACCCAAGGGATTACCCAAGGGACATCTTCCCTCCTCCCCAGTCCCTCTCCCCTGGGGCCTGATGCTCAGGTTAGAAAAAAGACACAATGAAAAACTGAGAAAATGAAAAAAAAATATATAGACAACAATAAGATGTTGCTATGGGATGGAATAGGATGTATGAAAATGGGAATATGAATTTAAGCATTCATTTTCTCATTTTATGTTGAAAAGTATTCAAGTATTTGTTCATTCATTTATTTTATTTTATTTCCAGGCCATGGTAGCTTGTTATCCAGGCAAAGGGACAGGATACAAGCGACATATTGACAACCCCAACAAAGATGGTCGTTTGATTACCACGCTGTACTATATAAACCCTGGATGGGATGTTCAGGTAATGTAGTAGAGAAATCTTTCTTTAGCTTTTTTGAAGATGGTTATTGGTAGTGATAATATTATCATCACTACCACCATTATTACCACCATCATTGAGGTTGGTTATATTGGTGGTGATTGGTAGTGATAATATTATCATCACTACCACCATTATTACCACCATCATTGAGGTTGGTTATATTGGTGGTGATAATGATGATGATAATGATGGTTATTGATGGTGATAACATTATCATCACTACCACCAATATTACATGTACCACCATCATTGAGGTTGGTTATATTGGTGGTGATGATGATGATGATAATGATGGTAATTGGTGGTGATAATATTATCATCACTACCACCATTATTACCACCATCATTGAGGTTGGTTATATTGGTGGTGATGATGATGATGATAATGATGGTTATTGATGGTGATAATATTATCATCACTACCACCGTTATTACCACCATCATTGAGGTTGGTTATATTGGTGGTGATGATGATGATGATAATCATGGTTATTGGTGGTGATAATATTATCATCACTACCACCGTTATTACCACCATCATTGAGGTTGGTTATATTGGTGGTGATGATGATGATGATAATGATGGTTATTGTTGGTGATAATATTATCATCACTACCACCATCATTGAGGTTGGTTATATTGGTGGTGATGATGTTGATAATGATGGGTATTGGTGGTGATAATGACGGTGGTAATAATGGTGTTGATGATGTTGATACTGATGGTGATGATAATGAAAGTTTGTCTTTTTGACTGTGTATTTATTTTACTGCTTCTATCTCTTTTAGAGTGATGGTGGAGTTTTGAAGCTGTACCCAGAATCAAAGTTCTTCCCAGATTCAGATAAGACAGAGGTAGAGATAGAACCAGTGTTTGATAGATTGCTGCTTTTTTGGTCRGACAAGAGGAACCCACATGAAGTATGTCCTGCTTACAAAACCAGGTAACTACAGTAACCACTTATATTAACCAATTCACACTTGAGGCTGGCTTTGCATGTCACCAAATGTAAGGGACGGTTCATTTTTATTTGGGTTGGGGGAGGGGGTTGCAGAAGGATTAATTTGCTTKCTAAGCCTAGCCAGAAATATGACCCTATCTCTCTGTTGTTGTGTAATGAAATGATCACCACCCCTTTGTTTTATTCTGTTTATTGTAAAGATGCTGTTCTGTGTGCTGCTCAGGTTATTCTTTKGGCCCTCACTTCCCATCATCTTGGGCCTGAGTTTTTCATAAGCCCTCTAAAATTCCCACTGTCCCCCTCCTTGGTAAAAAATATAAATGGTCCCTATTACGCTGATTGCATGGTTGCTTCAGTTTACTACCACTACTAAAATGCTTCACCATTTTTTTTTTCTTATTCAAATTTCTATTTCCTCATGGGAATAGTAAGACAATTGGTGCTAATTAACTGAACAAAAGAAAGTGTGCAAGAGAGTCCCGTAGTGGTAGCAAGTGATGCAGCTATAATGCAAGTGACCTATTAAATGAGGGACTGTCATTACTTTTGATCTTGTTAGAGGGATATCTGTTATACAAAGAGGTTAGGTAAAAAAAACAATCAAAGAAAGACAGTGACTATCCACAGTATGTGGTCTTTGCCTCAAAGAATTTAATTGTAAGTTTGTAAAACTATTAATTTCCTTTGATTATACGTTAAGGTATGCTATTACCCTGTGGTACTTTGATACGGATGAGAGAAAAAAGTTCTTTGAAAAGTGTAAGTAAAGCAGTTTATTTACTGTAATTATTTTCCTCAAATCATGCATTAAAAGGTCTAAAATGTACAATGTATGTTACTTTTATTCTGGCAAAAGCAGAAACTATATTGAGTCTGTTGTATGTGTTTACATGTAGTTTTGGTTAGTATAGGCCACTGAAATTATCTACCTTTTCAATATAACGTGAACTAGGCATCTTCCATCAATCAAATTACATTGGGCAACTTTCAACTAAAGAGTAATTCACTTTGCATGGCTTGTGTCTAATTTTTTGTGCCCTTTTCTAATTTCAACAGTGAAACAGAAATCTCAAGTGAGTCAAGCCAAACCCACTGAGGTATGCATATGAACTAAATTGATCCAAGATGTTCTTGACCACTTATCTGAGTGTCTTGATTCCCATTTTAGGGAGTGTTCATAATTTATCAGGGTTGGGGGGAGGGGGGGCAGCCATTTTCACAGATAACAAACAGGGGGCCTATCAGTTATAGTATGAGAAAGCCAGGATATATTTGGTGTCAGTAGTTTGGAAGAAGGGGACACTATTTGTTTGGGTTGGGAGGCACCCCAAATGTAAAATTCACAGCACCCCCTCTCACCCCCATTATGGATTATGAATTTTGCCTTAAACCACTTCATTCCCCTGAKAATCATTTCTTAGTTATGAGATACGAAAAGTTTTTAAAATGAATTTTGTAAACTTCTAAATTCCTCATCAGGAACTCACTCCACTCAAAGAGAAGGAAGTAATAAGAGAGAAAGAAAGCAGTGAAGCTTAGTGGTGAGTTAACATCACGCATGAAAATTATTATTCAAGCAGTCTTTTTCATTCCTATGTTACAGTAAACAACACGGTCTGAAATGGGAAAACAGTATGCCCAAAATTAAAAGGTTTATTTTTTCGTAGAGTAGAGTACAACACTAAAAGCGTGCAACACTTTGCACTATTTAGTAGTAAATAGTGCTAATTAAACAATAGAAAACAATAGGATTAGCATAATTTAGCATTATTTAGTGGTATTTGTGTTACACACTTATAGTGTTTGTACTCTATCATTTCTTTGTTTACTAGCTACTAAGTTGTACATGAGAAGACACAACGATAAGATACRACTCAAACAAAGAATATTTTTCTCAAGAAAATGATGTGCTCAGGAAAATGGGAAAACATTACACCTAGTAAACTAAAGACCTCTACTTACAGCTCTTTGCATTAGAGTGTGCACAATGCACTTTTTTGTCTTTGTTTGTGGCCCGACAACAGTGCGTTTCTAACGTCTGAACAACCGGTTTCCACAGGAAAGTTTTGACGTTTCTAGGAGTAACCGTTACATTTAATTTGATGGTTTGACTACATTCCTGAAGTTCCATGCATACATTACTGATGTAGGGCGGCTAATTAGCTTTGAACATAGTTAATTGATTGACTATGCTTTGAGCCTGCCTTGAAGTAACAGTGGAATTATACCATGAATTCAAAGCTAATTAGCCCCCTGGATCCATCTATGGGTATTAGTATGTATGAAGTGAGGGTCACGGATGAACTCGCAATGGGGTGATGAATGCTATGATTGTGATATAATTATAATCATTGTAACAAGTCCTARTGAGGGTGAGAATCATTTGCATATTACATGTATGCCATGTATGCCATTGTTAATCCATTGTTTATACCACCAACATGGTTGCCATGCATAAATGCTGATGAATTTATTTCCTATTTAGGTTTGTGATGTTTCTTGCTATTTCAATCAAGCATAATTGATAAATGGTGGTTACTTCCTGATGCGTCCACCACAGAGCAGTAGAGTAAGTTGTACTCATAAAGACAATGTTTGGCACTACTGTGCCAGGAGATTCAACCTCATGCAATTAACTGAAGCTAAATATCATAAATCTAAGATTTAATACTCTATCCTGTTACCAGATTWTACAGAAAGGTAATATTCTAGACGTTTTCAGTTTACCTCATATTTCTGTGTTACAGTMGGTTTCACATTACTTTACACCTTTGGGTCCCGAACTATGTTCGGAAATTCCCATGTTGGCAACCATGCTATTTCAGAACTTTAAAACAAAGTTTGTTTCAAAGTTTAGAATTTGGTTTAGCAATAGAATTTAAAGTTCTCGAAGGAAATCCCGAAGCTTCTGGTTGAAAATCAAGATTGTTTGCTGCAAAATAAGCCAACCAAGTTCTGAAATTTGGCGTAAAAGTTCAGAAGTGAAACCGACTGTAACTTATCTTTTAAATTTCATGTCTTTAAATATTTTCCATAACTACTACCCAGAATATCAGTTGAAATTTAGTACAAGTTTCTAAAGTTTATGTAGAAGCATGAATTTTACCWCAAATGTGAAGCACTTGCATTTGTCAATGTTGGTAGCAGGGGCGTATCCAGGGGGGTCACAGGGTGGCCATGACCCCCCTTTTAAAGCCAAAAAAATCTAACYGGCTGTTGATGCAGTGTGTGAAGATTTGTTTAGACTTAACTTAGGCAGTAAAGAAAATCAGTTTTTTGCGCTTCTCGGAGCCGTCTTTTCATTTCGTTTCCCTTCTATCGACCATGATTCTTTTTTGTCAAAGCAATAGATTGCTATGACGTCATATTGACGTCATATGACGTCATAGTGACAATTTGTTATGTAAGGATCCCCCAGTTACAATTCCTGGATACGCCCCTGGGTAGTATGAATTTGTTGTGATATCCATTCTGCCACCATCAGGACAGGAGTTCAGGGAGTGGGTGAGTTGCATGGACTTAAAATGACACCCTGATCTGTTGTGACAGTCTGTAGCTCTCCCATAACCTAAGCCAGTGCGACTACCCTGTTCTTTCAAGTCCCTTAATATATAGGCTAGATGTGCTATAAGTTCACAATGAGAATCAAAGTTTATGCACATAGAAATGATATCAATTTCGGTCTCCAAAATGTAATGTCATGTAAACTGAGAAAGCCTATTATTGTTGAGTTACAAATCTATCCTTACCAGGAGTATCAAGGGTACAGCTATGCCTTTTTAAATGAAAATAAGGCCTATTGTCTTGGCTAAAAGTGGTCACTTGGGAAACTGGTACCATACAAGCCTTCATTTTTCACTTGACTGAAATGTGGGTTTCAGAACTCCTGCAAATCTACTGACTCTGTGCATACCCCTGAGTACCAAGAGAGATGTAGAGATGTGCATGTATGGTGCCAAACGATGGGATCCTTGATGTGTTGGCAATAGTAAAACATAGAAGCAAAGCCTCATTACTAAATCAAAGTTTGGAGGCACAAACGAAACGAGTTTTCTTAAAATTTTGAAATCRATATCGAGTCATTCAATTGGTATAAGTATGTAATTAAAAATGAATATGCTATGCTGCGAATTATATTTATATTTCCTAGAAGAGCATTCAGTCAAATCTTTTATGTTTTATTATTTGAGCACAACAACATTTCAGCTGCAATKTATTATGCATTCCTGGAAGGAGATAATCTAATGTATACCTATTTGAAAAAGGTTGTCTTAGAGAATACAGAATGCTGCATACTGAATTCCTTACTATGTTAAAATGATGAAGGCAAAGTACAGAACAGTATTCATATTCATGCCAAAAAGATGCATTGGCAATAATAGTTAACAAGAGAATATTGTAGTTAGTTTATTTTGTGTTTCGAAAAAAGCTCATAATTTTTACAAGAATTCAAAATCCTTTGTATCGCAACCTTTTTTTGAAAAAATAGTGTATATTCCTGTATGAACCACTGAGATGCAGGTCGGTGAATGCCACAAGAAAGGATTATGGTCCTTAGATAAAATTACCTAGGCTAAAATGATTTACGCTGTGTATAAAAATAACCTTGAACAGAATTCTAACTTTACGTATATATAAAATATTGAACATACCAGGAAAAGTCCTTAAAGAACTATCTGTGCATATAGGCTATTTGTATAATTACATTTACTACTATTACCAGAATGCTTTGCAAGCGTTTTGTATTTAAGATGTTATTCTCTTGTGACTGGTAGTCTGTCAGAATTCCAAATAAAATGTGCAAGGAATTCTGGTAGCTGTAGTATATGTATCCCTTGTGGCAATACACTATGATGTATCAAAACATTGGTATATTATGTAAATATCTAAATGTAAGCATATTGTGTTTTCTCCCACATATACGTATGAACAGTATAAAATGATCCTATTAACTTGTAGTAGAGTTAGGATCAAAAGTTGTACTATTTAGTACATTTTTAAAGGAGTAAAACGTACATACATGCTGTTTGTAGTTTAGTATAWAGCACGCGGGCCTTGGCATGAACCCAAGTAGAAGTGTTAGCGGTCTCTCGATACATCTCGGAAATCCTGTGCTAGCGATTATAATCTATTCCCATTCCAAATAAACCTAATCTCCAGAAATCCCAGTGTTTTCGCTGAATCTCGCGCGCAGTCATGTGCCCAGTAAAAACATGAACAAATCTTAGTTCCACGCATCTTTACACCTATGGGAAAAGGTTTTTATTTAACCATGAGTAAGCAAACGGATAAATTACAACTTAAATATCCTTTTACCTTGGGCGTAATGTTTTCCCATTTTAAATTATAAATAATCCTTTACAAGATGACACGTGATATGAATGGGAAAACATTACGCAACAGCTTAAAGACTATTAGTCACCAACAAAACCATCCATCCTTGAATCTGTACATCGTGAATATTCCTTATGATTATATGCACTTACTTCAAAAATCTTTGTCAGTGGGAGATCTGAGGGAAAAATAGGGAATTCTTGTGTCTATTTTCTGGCTAAGAAACGAAAAATCACATTTCTAACTCTGAGGTTATTTTTTCATTTTCTACAGTAAAAGGAAACTACGTTGTTGGGATGTGAACACATTACGATTTGCATCGTGCGTCTCAGATTTTCAGATTTCASATTTCATCTCTCCGTCGACCGTCAACGTCTTTTGGAATAGGCCCTTTGCAGCTTATCAATCACGTGCTGATTTATTCACTGAGAGCAAATGAATGAACATTTTGATTCTCATAGGTGAAATTTACTGGACTGCAAACAAACTTTCTACAACCTGTTTAGAGAGATCGTAATGAAACTACATTTCGTTACACACTGGATACACATGCTTTTATTCCGTTCTTCACAAGTAGCTAAAAAGAATCAACAATTTAATATAAAAACAAAAATTTTGCATTCCAGTACAGACACGTGACCGTTAACTGCAAAGGGACTATTGGTGTATAAAACGATATTCTCTTTAATACTGTTCTTTTGGTATCAGGACATATGCATTAGTTCCTTTCGGTTATATATTTTCTATATATGGGAAGCACGGGTGGCGTGCGCTGCTAATGCGCCGCCTCTCACCAATGCGACCCGAGTTCGAGCCCCGCCGTGCTCGGTTTCGTATGTGAGTAGAGTTGTTTGTTGGTTCTCTCTTGTGCTTCGAGGGTTTTTCTCCGGGTTCTCCGGTTTTCCTCCCCTCGCAAAAATCAACTTCTAAAAAATTCTAATTCGATCTGGGGCTTTCACCTAGCATGGATCTGTGGTTCCGTTCGTGATTGTCCCACTCTGTGATTACAGACAAAACTGGTAGATTCGCCCATTCAACCTCTGTATATTTGGCATAATGTATTGTGGAGTTCATGGTATTGGAGCTACGCTAGGGTAGATAAAGTTGTGTTTTACGGGGATCCATAGAACAAAATGAACTTTTTTTACAGCTCCAAAAGAAAGTTTGTTTGATTGTGTTTCTTTATTGATTGAGTAGGACCATACCTCCAGCCATCGAGTGCTGAAGCGCAGTATGGCAGCGCGAAGCATTTACGGCTACGCCGGAGATTTCGGCCCCGACACCGCTATCCAGTGACTAATCAGGAGGCTCGGCCGAAGCCTAAGGGAGAGGTTAGTCGGCCCCTAGACCATAGATGATTAACCACTTGCTATGATTAGCACTGTGTGCGGAGTCTGTCTGGTGGCTACCTTCCTAATGTTTTCTTAGACCGCGTGGGAGGTGTTTTGAAACCTTTCTTGAAAAAATAGACATGCGCTAAAGTTCAACATCGAACTTAGAAATTTTATCATTAAGACTCATTATAAAATAACTNATTTGCATCGTGCGTCTCAGATTTTCAGATTTCACATTTCATCTCTCCGTCGACCGTCAACGTCTTTTGGAATAGGCCCTTTGCAGCTTATCAATGATTGTATTGATTGTAGAGTAAACACTAAATGTGTGCAATAAAGTGCAAACAGTTAATCCGTGAAACACTAATTACTAAATAGTACAAAATAGGGCTAATTAAACAATAGAAAACAATGGAATTTGCATGAAATTGTGTTATTTAGTATTAGTTTCACGGTTATATGTTTGCACTCTAGTTATCATTATTTAGAAGTAAATAGCATTAATTAAACAAAAGAAAACAATATAATTAGCATGAAAAAACACTATTTAGTGATATTTATGYTGCACACTTTTAGTGTTTGTACTCTACTACCCCTTCATACCATATATGTGCTGTATATCAAAATATACCCTGCATACCCATGTAAACTATGTATGCCCATGTACACCGTTCAGACCATGTACATACTCCTCGAATACCCCCTCTATACCCATGTGCACACTGTGTAACGTATTGATGGGTTGCAAGCATTCCCAAGAGAAGCAAAAGACAAAAACATGGCAGCCATTGTGGTGCCGTTAACAATGGATGCTAATGAGAAATCTTTTGTTAAATGGCACCAACATGGCCGCGATGACGTAACGTGCAATCGAAGAATACACTCAATTGAAGAATCGTTGTCGGGTTCAAAAACATAGAACATAAAAGCTGAGACCGAAATGGCACATGGGAAATGACATGATTATATTATAATTTATTCATTTGCGCCTTCCATGCAGTCGGTTTAGAATGCCAAACGCGTATTAAAAACAGTGGATGATGCCACGGGTCGCCGGTCACAGCATGCATCTAATTAAAGTACTTCCCATGTGCCATTTCGGTCTAATCTTCTATGTYCYATGTTYCTGAACCCGAAAACGATTCTTCAATTGAGTGTATACCCTGTATAACATATATACCCAGTTAGCATGTAACCCTGTATACTCATGTACACCCTGCATACCATATACACCATGTATACCATATACCCTGTATACTCATATATACCCATCTACACCCTGTACGCCTCCCATGTATGCCCTGTATGCCATATACCCTGTATACTCATGTATACCCATCCACACCCTGTACGCATCAAATTTGCATTTAATTTCGTAAACYTTTTCTTTGATTTTCTCAAAGAAATATTCATGAGTTTGAGAAGTAATTTGAAACGGCTGCGCYTCGTTTTATCAACTCACTTCTCGGTGTTTGCAAATCGGAGAAAGAACTCTCTCGCGTGTTTGAAATATTACTTCAAAAACATACATCGTTTCTTGCGCAATCTACGCTGCCATGGCAACGCGCATAAATCCCCTACAAACGAACCATTAGCTCCAAATCAGAATAGCTGTGAGTGTGTTGATATGCTACTCACGTGMTTTCAAATGATACCTTGAATGGGTCACGTGACCAAAAGTTGCCATAGCCACCTTAATTTTTTTTCAAAAATTCATATCTTTGTCAATCTTAGCTTTGAAARGATGCAAAGCAACACAACTGTAGATATGTATGTACTCCATACTTTAGCCAAGGCATTTTGCCGAAAAACAACTCGAAGACAAGATATGAGACGCGAAAGTTTCAAAATTTGACCTTAGTTTCCGTGGTAACGCAAGCAGTGAGACAGGGATGCTATCCAACACTTCTAAGACAATATCAATTACTATCACAAGATGCAATTAGTTTCACTCTACGAAGCATTTTCTTTTTTTCGCAAGCAGTCAAACTTTCGAATGAAGGTTACATTGTTAGGGCTTTCCCCCAACAGAGATTTTGTATCTCAGGAAGTTCTTCACGAAATGAAACAAATCGTGCATCATTTGAAAGAGCGTACAAGATATACCGTGCAGAAAGTTTCGCAATGTGAAACGAAAGAGTTCTGTTCGAAAAAGTTGTTTGAAATCATACTGACAAAGTAACCTGTATATTATATTTCTTTTTTATTACTTTTGCGCATGCGTAGCTATATCAATTTTTTTACAACCTTAAGTGAGCGCGGGCCTCAATAAACATGCTTGCCAAGTTTCATTGCATGTAAATGGGTGATAGGAACCTACGAAAAAATAACTAACAASTTGGGAAAACCTAAAGGTAAACGAAAAAATGAAGAAACGTTTTAACATGCAACTTTAACCAGGTCTTCAGCGTTTCTATTTGATTCGTCCTTAAAARCATCACCAAATTAAACCAAACTTCGCACAGTTATAGAACAAGGTGCCTAGTAGATTACGGAACTGGTATTAGTTTTTTTCTTCGAGGTTAGGGGGGGGAAATAATAAATTTTCAAAATATCACCAAAAGTTTAAGGAAAAAGTAGTTATTTTACATTTTACATTGTCAGAATACGCAGGGAGAAGGAGAAGGAGGAGGAGAAGGAGAAAAAGAAGAAGAAGAAAGAAGAAGAAGAAGAAAGAAGAAAGAAGAAGAAGAAGAAAGAAGAAGAAGAAGAAGAAGAAGAAGAAGAAGAAGAAGAAGAAGAAGAAGAAGAAGAAGAAGAAGAAGAAGAAGAACGACGACGACAACAATAACAACAGCAACAACAACAAAAACGACAACAACAACATCAAGATGAACCGTGCAGCCCATGGGGAAATAGTCCATAGGTTTTCATCCAATCAGAGCGTGCGTTATATCACCCATCTCGCTCGTGCGCGTGCTMTTGACGCCATCGCATTTGAAACTTTAGAGAAAAAAGGCAAGCGTCCGTTGAGATAAAGGAGGAGGTTTGGTTTCACTAGCATGCTTTGTGCGTCGTACCACAGCCCAATTTAGATTAAAGTGAATGGTGAAAATAAAATCTGAAAAATTAAATAATTAATATTTTWAAAAATTGGAGATCAAGATAATGTCCTCCACAATGCGAAAGAGYAAAAAAATCTATAAAAATGCCCTAGAACATTTTTTTTTTTCGCGCGCACCTTTGTTTTCCTATATTATTTCCCTATGGTTGATTTTGTGTATATATACTCTGACAAGGGAGGAAACTTCAGTCGCCATATTTGAAAAAATAACTCGCTTTAAACCACGATTTCATCGTCTTTTAAACCTCGAACTCAGAAAAAACCTTGATCAAAATGATCCCTACGATGGGGGATTCATTTATTTAAACCTCTTTTGGCTCTTCCTCCAAGATTTYTATGAGTGAAATTTTCGTGCAGAAAATATTTCGCTTGCAGAAAATTTTCTGCCATGTTATGTCAAGGTTCTTACCTGCGTAGCACTCGGGCACTAC